TTTTCATATTTTTAAAATTTCTAAAATACCTAAAAATTTTGAAATACAAAATATAATTTTCCCAGAATTTTGTCTAAATTTAAAAAAATCCTTATACTATGATAATCAAATGCCTGAATAACCAATACAACAAATCAAAGTAATAAACATATGCTTTACATATTTTTAAATAAAAGATGTTTGAAAAAATTGAGATCCATTGCTATAGTTATTTTCATTAAGCATAAAATAATCAACCGTCGAGCACAAAAATAACTAAGAAGCTATAACCTTTTTTTTTAATGAGATGTGAAGTAACCGATTTTTAAATTACTATGTATATCAAGATAAGATATTAGTAACCTTGTTCGGGATATGAAAATTGTGCAGAGAAAATTCTAGTCATGCCTACGCGTTTGTTTTTTCTTAACGATAAGCATTTATCAATTGTATTACGTAAAACTCGTAAATTCAGCAATGTTAAAATATAGTGTACCCAATTGTACAACCTTCGCCTTGCCTTCTTTCGTAACGATTTATTTGCTTAACGATAAGATAATCCTTTAGTTTAAAAAGGACGCTCGTGACGTCTGTGTGCTAGCTAGCCTACATATTGGCTTTACTAGTTCCATCATTGGCTTAGTCCAATTGGCAAACAATATTTAATTTGTTTTATTTCAAAAAAAGGCTTACACGAGGTCTGTATTATTCCTACATACATTTAATTATATGTGTTTCCGTACGTGATACTTCTTAATTTCCTACTTGTAAAATATGTTAAGTATCTCCTTAGTTGAGACTTAAGAGAAACCTATTTCAGATCACTAGCGTAGACTTGTGGAGTGTGTCTTGTATGAATCATGTCTTTCCCTGGAATTACAGAGTTGCGCCCTAGATATTTTTCGGGGCTTGGAGCAGTAGTAAGTCTAAAAAAAATACTAGTCAAGTTCTTTATGTGTCAGACCACCAATGAATTTTATAAAACCATTAGCTATAGCTTCATAGGGCTTAGAACGTAGTACTTAAAATGTGCAGCACCACGGTGCTGAAATGCTTTATGGATACATTCCAACCTAAACCAGGCGCCACTCTTACTGCATCGTTCTAAGCAGCTTGCATTTTTTGCATAGGTGTCTCTGAAAAGAGCTATGCTGTTACCTGAAGAAAGCATTCTACGAAAATACGATACTTCCTTAATAACACACCATAAAAAAGATTGAGACGTGCAAAACCAACCAAAGGTGCAGACAATAGTCATAGTTCTATGACTTTTATGTAATTTACTGAATCCGATCACTTATGCTGCTTTAAAAACCCGTATTTTTGAGCTGTACAATTGGGCACTTTGCTTTAAATTTGCAAGTGAGTCTTCTACTACCAATTCTTTTAGGGTATACACGCCTCTGAAGGGATTCGTGAAAATTTTGCAACGATCCAAATACACTCTGCAAAATTTTTTTGTTGAGCTTCATCTTCTGACTGAACTTGACGCTTTGAACAGGCTTGAAAAGTTTAATTTGGAGCTCTGTATATTCAGTTACTTGGCTAATTAGAAGGCGATTAGTGATTTGTACTTAGAATGCAATATGTGTAGTTACTAAGTTAGTTAGCTCGTGCAGTGGGACATGTATACGCATGCTTGAAGTACCTCCTAGAAAATATGCAAAATAATTTACTTCTCTGACACATTCCGAGCCAACTGTAAAACTGGTCTTTAATAAAGGAGCATTTTCATTGTATGGACGTTTCTACATCAAGCTTTTTTCCATTTGGTTCTATTTCACACAGAAATCAGCTGTCCATGGAGTTCCAAATGTTAACTATTCTTATTTTCTCATCAGACTCCTGCGTCAAAAACTATATTGCAAATAGGTTTACGTTCATTAGCGAAAGCTAACGAGAAAGAAAATAGGCTCTACAAGATATAAGTAAATATAATAGAATTAATTTGTATCATGTAATAGATCCTTTTCCTTGTTGCATGATATTAATACTGAAAGAATATAGCACATATGAGAAATACAATATTCATTCTTTCGTAGTGCAGCTTGGCCAAAAACTATTGATCAATCTGTAGCACTTACCTTCGTAGCACCGTCTTCAGACTTTGCTTCCTGCTGGGCGTTAACAAAGCAACAAGCAACACTTAGTGGAAATCGATATCTTGATGCACCTACAGAGTACTGATTTTCTGCCCAGGAACTGAAAGTAAAAAATATACTTCGGAATCGAGATCCAGAAATGTATGGGAACACTAATGATACTATATACCTCTTACCCTCAAATAAATCATTCCTGTTACTTGCACAGGGTATATAGTGCGTTTGGTTTGCAGGACTTAAAACAGGACCTCGGTCACTTTCGACAAAAAGTTTGGTCAACCAAAACGCCGCGTTGACTGCTCGCCTTTTGTTTTAATAAGTTCGTAATTACTATTTCAGTCAAATTTTAGTTTATGAATTGAATGATAAAATATACATTGAGATAGTTTTGAAAATAACGTGACCTAAAATAAGTGTGTGTTATTTAAACTTAAGAAGGAGTGTAGTTGGTCAAATAAAGCTTTTAATCGATACTGGGATTTTGCATAAAAGATTTCCAAAAAAAAGATAGGAAATCCCGCAAAGCAGCTTGACGCAGTATTTTTAAACTGCTTCTGCTAAATCTTTTTCAAATGTTCCGTGCAAAATTTACTAATTATGCCGAAATTTCGAAGCAGTAGTCAATAACCTGAACTTAAAGTCTACGTTTTTTATTCAGCATGAGTCTTACGGTAAGCGTGAAGTTACACATTTGTTCAAAGTAAACGTAAAAGTAATCTCATTTGGCATTAAGATTTTCATTAGAAAAAAAAGACTGAAGCTTCAACAGTGTTCGGTATGCAGTGTATTCGCAGTCTTACTTACTTACACATTTATTATCGACTCAAGTAAGATGTTTCTAGCCACACACCGTTATTATATAGCGGTATCGGCGTCAATGCCTGGGAAATAATCTAAAACCCACCGTAGCAAATGCTCGTTTAGCTGTGCTTTATCGTGATGAACCAAAAGCTTCATAGTCCAAGTTCAAGTGACCAGAAGTAAATTTATTGTGGGAAGTCTTAATGTGAATTTTCTATTTTGGACAAGCTGTTAATTGGCAAACGGCAATGGGGTAAGATACCATTACCATATACAAGAGGGCTAGTCACCGACATCACCAGTAACAGCAACTGATGATTCGATAATGGTTGTTGCGAAAGAAACAGAAAAAGCAGCATCACAACGCGCTGAGAACAAGGTATCGTCATCGAAATGTTTCGTTGGGACAGCCTCGATGGCCAATGTGTTCGACAACATTCGTTGCCCGAACGCCTTCGATGGTTAAGGCCTTTTCAATTTGCATTATTCGACGCCGTCTGCAAAACCTAAGCATGCAAGGAGGATAGCTAAAAATGAAAGGGAAGTTGGGGGTTTTGGAACCAGCGCTAAACCTGATCAAGGTCCTGCACAAGGATACGAAAGCAACTCTGAGAAACTAACCAAAAAACGAAAAAACGAAGGAAAAAATCGTCATCCACGAAACCGCCGAGTGATTTACCGTTAAAGTTGACAACTACTACTGATGTTATCTGTAACCGTTCGATTTTAATTGTGCTGCTGGGAAAGGTAGCACAAATATTATGCTGTTAGTACAGGTTGACGCCGCCTGGTAAGTTCGGGCACTCTCAACAAACCGCATAATTTGCGAATTTACGGATGGAAGAAAACGGGAATCGATTCCATTGAGGAGAACGCACAACCGCATTTACAATACAGAATATGCTTCCGGACGATGGGAGACCTAATTATGTAAGACTGTTGCCGCGAAGTCCTGCAAGATACCCTCAATGGTGGCGCCGGAAGTTACGGAACTAGTTAGTCTTGGAATCACCGAAATCTCACATAACAAGCATAGGAAGGGATTACGAGGAAATTTGAACAACGCTACGCGAAGTTAAACTCACTAGGCGCTAGATGACACTAGCTACGGTATAAGGATATGCCGTTGGAAAAGCGCGGCCCAATTAAAAGGATGCGAACATGATTATTATAAATCCGTTCATAAATACACATCTACGCTTATGTAAAGACACAGCCAATGGCTCCGAAGTGTTTCTTCCTGCCGGTCACCGACGAAGTTGAGCCCGTCCACTTCAAAATAAATAACTTTATCTACAAAAGTTGTGTAACATCGTGTCTTTATCGAGACTTACAGCATCAACCAGAAACCACCGCGCCATCCGAGTAAGCTTATATACCTAGAACTGAAGAGAATGGGCTTAGTTTTGTCATTGGTCGGTCAGAACAAGCACCTTGCAGCCACTTGCTCTGCGTATGCATAACTGTAAACGTAAATCCATTTTATCGTGCTTGCAATTTTTTTTAACTGGGCCACGCTCGTCCAGCGGCATGGCCTCATACCGTAGCCGATGTCCTCTAGAGCCTAGTGGGTTTGTCTTCGCGTGGCGTTGTCCAGATCTCCTCGTTACTTGTTCTGACGCCTGCCAAGTAGAGTCTCGTTAGTTCTACAACCGAGGTGCAATAATCTCGAAAGTTTAGTTTATAAAAAACGTTCGTGATATTTTCACCCAATATGTTAAACAGGATCATGTAATTCACTTTTTCTGCCGGTGCCCCTTTTAAATGGGTATATCCGTTTTTTGACATTACAAGCAATGTAATTTACTTTTGTTTAATTCTTCGGTGCACCTTCATGAAGGACTATAAAAATTTGTTGATTATAAGAATTAATTTTTTTCATTTTTTCACAACTCATGTAAAAAAGAAGCAACGCTTTATTACATTAATAAGTACAGTTTAATTTAAAAAAACTGAAAAAGCAATTGCAACAAGGCTTTAACAGAAGACCATATATTGTCTTCAATTCCTCTGACTCAAATTTGCGCGCGCACCCATTTCGTCAGTATTGAATGTCCCTTCGATACACGAACCTAGAGTAGCAGACGACTTAAAAGATTCCCATACAGGATTTCACGCGGTCAGCCAGTTTGTTGTTAATGACATCTGCCCTTTCCTACCGCTTCCCTGCCCCAATCCTTCCCCCAGCACCGATGCACTCGGTGCTTTGTGCTGTTTCTTGGCAGCGCTTATGGGACACGATCGACAGTTGTTTGACTATATAACTGCTGTGTTGTGCTGAGTATCGGCAGTCCTGCCAGAAGAGGACGAAATTACAGAGCGACGAATGGCAGCGGTTGACGGCAGTAGTAGTGGCTTTGCGTTCCTAATTGAGTGGCCACAGTTTGTTGTGTAATGTTTGGCCTACGGGTCTCGAGCCATAGTTTCGTGTACCTGCTGGCTATTAGCCTTTCCTATACTTCGAAATTCTGCCGCTTTATATAATTAATTTTTCCCGTTTACATTGCCTTGAGCGCGAGGACAGTGTTTTTTGTCGCAATCGGCGCCTGTGATGAATCAATGGTGCGTTCACCGTTGACGTTTTCTTCTAACAATACGAGGGATAGAAGCAGTTCGACCGATTTTCACAGTTCGACTTATCAACAGCTTTTAGCAGTACGTGTCGGCTTGATACTTAGTTCTGCTGTTGACGCACCCGCTAAATCAAGTAAGACCTGTTGTGCTCGCACGAATGAAGAGAAACAGTGTTTACCGGTTTGAGTAAGCTATGAGCTGTTTTAGGCTCGACGCATTTCGCATCTAGTCGATGACAGCAACGAAGATCCTCACCTCGACACTGTTTACTTAAGTTGTGATGGTGTAGCAAAAAGCTGCGTCGTTGAATGCTAAAACTGTGTCAGTATTTTGTTTCAAGACAACAAAATATAACGTCTTCGCACACACAAAGCATTAGTGCTGCGGAGTAATCTTCAATGAGGTCATCTCTACATTCTTCAGAAATAACCCCACAATCGAGATGGGCCCCATTGTTTATAGAAGCCTAACCTTTCAATAAACCATCATCCTGCTAGCATTGTTATTACTCTTAAGAAGTCAGTCGAGTCGGTGACATCAATTCAGCAACGAAGAGTGTTGGCAACTTCAAATGTTTATTTTTGCAATTGTTATCAGCTAATTCAGCTAACTGTTCAACTGTTAGCAGTACTGGAAACATGTCCCAATGGTGACTCATAACGACAGTGCATTTCTACATGTAGTATTAGACAAGAAACAGGGTCTGTGTGTTGGCGGTGGATGAATAAAAACGACTTTTGTAAGCTAAGAAAGAAGAAATCTATTGGAAGAAAATTCCCGACAGCAACCTCATTGCCCGTATTTGTTTTCAATTTCTCCTCAAAGAAAGGATGTACATCTAATCAAATTGTTGTTGTGCAGGCGTGAAGAAAAGAACGACGTTTAATGGCATGAAGAGAACGACATTTAATCTATAATCAATTTGTTGTTTGCGAACGTGAAGAGCATGACGTTTGCTAAGCGTAAATGAACTCTGTGTGGATTCTGAGAAAGTTACCATTATTACAAAGTTAGATTATATGAGATGGAGTGTATTTATCACAGTTACGCGATCAGATTTGGAACGTTTGAGCACTGAGTACCTGTCGAAGTGAACGAAAATTAAGCAGAAGATCGCTCCTCTGAGAAGCCTCTGGATGCTGTTTCATTGTCAGAGCAGGAACGACATCAACTAATACAACTCATCAACAACAGTGACCACGCGAGGCAGTTGGTAGCTACCAGTTAAGGTAACATGAAAGCTTTTCGAACCAGAATTTTTGTTATCGCAGATGTCAGTGATTTTTTGATACTACATAATGCAGGTCTTATTTGCTTGTCGGTAAAATATACGAATCATTCGATCTTGTGTACCAAGAACGCTATCATGGTTACGGTTATGCATAGTTACGGTTAAATTACGCGAAATTTATCCGAGAAGGGGGAAGACTCAGCCATTTCTAGACCATAGTTAATTTGGTATTGTAGGTCATACTTTGTTTTTACAAAGGCATGTTTCAAGATTATTGTTTTCTATGCTTGTGCCTGTTGTGCTTTTCTGTTTTGCGAAAAGAATCAACATTTCAAACAAATTAACAAACTCAATTGTTTTGCCGGTTCATGTATTGAAATAAATTTTCAAATCTTTTTCAATCAAATTGATTGATAAATTGATAAAGTTCGATGAAATGCCGACTGATGAAGTATTTTGGAATCACGACTAGTCTGTTATCGGGAGGTTATAAAACTAAGAACATAGTTGTAAGCCACGTATGATTTGGACTGTGTTCACAGCAGTATTAACCTCAATTTACGCCGATTGATTGAAGGTTTGGCGTATATAGTATAGCAACGGAACAGATTTAACCACATTTATAAGCGTGCATTATACGATTTCGCGTTTGTCGGCAACAAAAGTACCTTGTCAGTGCTTGGGTAATTTGGAATCTATTAATACCATCATACAAAATTTCTGTTATAATAGATTTCCATCACAATTTACCAAGTAAATTTGGACCGATACGCTTCTTTCATTGTGATCGATTTATCTCTGACTTTACACACTAAGTAATCAGCTGTAAAACCCCTTATAAACTGCTATTGCGAGGAAGATGCCGCTGACTATGGATATATTGACTGATATCTATATATTTCGAGGTTTAGATCGATGGGAGTGTCATGTTGTATACTTTGCATTTGTCGTTTCAGTTCCAACGAGATTTGTCTTCAGTCCATTTCATGTATGCTTGCTCGATTTCGACGGGGTAGTATGTAAAGGAGCAATAAGTTCTCGATCTGTCACATTACTTGTCTTGTAGCTGCGCGCGACTGATCGGGTGGTGTAGCTGTCGTGGTGGTAAGCCAACCACATAGGAGCATCTTTGATAAGCGCTGGGTTTTGTCGAGAATATGGAATGAATGAGTGGAAAGCGAACGCTAATCTATGGCTGTTCAATTCTTTTCACGCATGGTGATATAGAATTTTTTTCCGCTGTATATGACGCCGGTGTTAGCACCAAGACAAAGATAAACGTGATAAAAATCTATTCGGAGTACTTGTGTCAGTAATTTTGAAGCAGTTCAGAATCATCCGTGCTTTGTAGTAACGGGGCTGTTTGTTGCAATAACTACGCCCGCACAGACTTCAGTGTCTAAAAGAAGTAGATAACATCTTTTTTTTATTTAGGGTTTCTTTTGGTAATTTTTGGGGTAAATTTTAGTAAAATTAGGAAAGTGAATCTATGTGCCGAACAGCACTAAGGCGCGGAAGGAACGTAATGATTTCAGTGCCTTTTAAACATGATTTTAGTTATAAATCATTTGGATATGTTGAAAATCCTAATAACCCATAGGTCAAAAACTATTTTAATGTGTAAGGCTAAATGTATGAAAGGTATGGCTTGTAATTCTGAACGACAAATTAAGCAGTTGCCTGCATGGTTTAATGGAAAGTGTTAGATAATATGTCAAATAATATAATATATATATATATATATATAGTATTAAAAAAAAATATATATAAGAAACTCGACTGAGCAATGCAGCATTAGGTACTTTTACATACAGCACTTTTACTATGTTTTGTATGTACCATATAATTTTTGTCGCATGTAATCGCGGCCATCTCTGTCGGCTAAACCAACTGGTTTATAGAAACAAACATTTATTTTCTTAAAAAATAAAGACGCCATCATTTGATACGTACTTATTACAGGGTTACGTGCTAAGCGTTTTGGGTTTTTTGCGTTCAGGTTAAAAAAATTACATAACGAAAATTAAGAAAATGTGCTAAAGGGCACTGAAATCAACACGTTCCCTTTTTCCATGAGTACTGTTCGTAGCATTTGACTTACCTTACTACTTTCGTTAAAATTTACTTGTAAAATTTGGGAATACACATATTTCAAATAAGAGTTGGATGTTATCAGCTTTTTTTTTTATAGCAGACATTTGCTATAGCAACTTTCAAAAATATATTTGGCATTGTGTTGTAAAGTGTGCACAATTATTACAGAATCGTTTGTAAGTGTCCGTCTATATGCATTTCGATATGTTCGCGAGGATAAAAAGCGCACTTATTGCTCAAAATGTTTATTATGCCAACTGTAAAGACATAAGCATAAGGACGATTGTTTTTGCATATATAGCCCGAATTCGAATTTTATCTCTATACTCACCGCAGTTTTTTAGCAGCTCAAGCATTGTAACAAGAACCTTAAATATTTCAATGTTAGGCAAAGCTTTTTGAAATGATGACATTCCAAAGCCTTACTCGCGTAGTGCTTTCAATTCTTGTAGATATTAGCAAAGTAAATTTGTTTCATCCCGCACAGAGAAGTGACGCAGAGGCATCACCAATTGGTTACGTCCGACTGTCGGTTACAAGTCTCAACAGAATATTCTTTGGCATTTGATTATCTTATGGGGCCATTATTTTTCTAGTTCAATGTCAGCATCCTACCGGATGTATAGCAGAAATGGAGTGCATTCAAAATAATAGTTGTGAGTTTACTGCCTAGTGACAATCCTTACTTCACTGCGTGTCTTGCTGTTTAATTCGTCCTGCTATTGAAACGACATGAAAGATTTGATCTCCAAGGCTGTATATACGTGGCATGTATACATTTATAAATGCGTCACTAAGATATTATCTGCCGCGACCAGTTTACAATCCAGCAAACGATGACAAACGTCAAGTGCTTAAACAACACTCATACAAACCGCCAAAACTAATTAGGAATATAGAGTATATATAATATAAGTAATATAGAATATCAATTGTCAATATCAATCGTTATCATGTACCTGATTTTTCCAGCAAAACTCTTCGTCGCCTCTGTATCAAAAATTGCTAAAGCGGCATTCGTTTTTCCTTATTTGAAATTAGACAACAACGTAATAACTTGGCAATTAAACTGACACCCCACAGAAAGTGATCAACGACGGCCGCTAAGAAGCGGCCTCTTGCAGTATTCCCTACGCCTCGGAGGCGATAGTCGGTGCCAGTTGGTCTTTGTTCACTGTTAAGATCTTTATTGTCTGTTGACCCACTGGCCTATGTACTATTTTATCCAAGTAGATTGGATAGAATTAGTTGCTTAAAACACGCGTGCCTATAGCCGAATGAGATATGTCGTATTCTCCATCAAAAAGTGCTGTTTTTTCAAGCTAGATGATCTTACGTTGACGCCAACGAAGCAAGCAGCGCCTTTAAATGTACAGGCTTCCTTTCAGCTCAATGATGCTGCGGTTGAGCTAGATAGTGTATATATGATTGATTCAAGATGCTCGATTTGGCTTTTGCTGGAGAGATGGCCCACTGTTCTCTAACGCTGCACGCTTCTAAGCAGCTCACGTGTGTGAGTACTATGTATGCTGGATTGAGAAGTTGCGATTTACGCAAGGTAAAATAAGCAAAACATTCGAATGTACAGTTGCCGACCATATATGGACTGTGTCGAACTAGTACCGCTTTGTAAATTTATGTACACGACAAATTTTTTTAATGTAATTGAAGGTCATGCTTATATGCAGTAACGATTTCTTAAAATAGCTGTCTTGTGTTGCCTTGTCGACTAAAACACTGTTGTTCCAGGTTGTCTGTAGCCTTTCTAAATGTAAATTGTCAAATGTTAGACTCGTATAGCCGTACCCAGTAGAAGTCTTTATTTTTTTTAGAAGATATCGGCATAGGCTTTTCTCATTTCATCAAAATGTTGTTACAGTAATGTGTTCTGGCAGAGGTTCGTCTGTCCGGGACAATTTGCAATTCGTAGAAAAGGAATTGTCCTGCAGTCTCGATGAATAGTACGACCTGTGTATCTCCTGGTTAAAGCCGTTCAATTCTATTCTTTAGTTTTACGTTTATTTAGATGGTCCTTGTCTAAACGTTTACCAATCTGACAACTGCAGAAATCCAAAAACAAAATCATGGCGCGTTTCCGTTGCACTGCATATCTCTAAATAAAGTACATACAACTGCGCATAAAAGTACACGAAAGTAGTTAAAATACGTTGAGCTTTTTCTTTAAGTATTCAACGGAACATTTGATTACTCAGTGATTGTGAAATTAATATATTTGTACCATTACAAAAAAAGAGTTGCCTGAGACTGCTTTGCCGGTTCCGCTTATAATTCATATCGAAAAGTAATCTAACATAAAATGTCTGTTAAAGAATGATGAGTTATATAGCAACATTTGGTTTAAAAGCTTTTTTTATAGTTTTTCCTATGGCTTTGGTTCTAGGCGTTGCTGCGGACGCTGAATCCAAAGCGAAGTGTTTCTACGCCCGGTTTTGAACCTGGATCACTAGGCGAATATTTTGCTACTGCGGGGATCACGGGACAGCAGTCATGTATCCTGCGTACGGTTTCTGCACAAGAGATACTACTTGCTGAATATTTCTATTCATTATCACGGTAATTCGGAGCAGCAAGCCCAAGACGATAAACAATACTATCCGTTCAAAAGGGTTTTACATCGTTAGACAAATTAGTTCGGCTGTTGAACCGCTGGCACCCGGCAAACCCCTTTTAGTCGATGAGGACGAGGTCAGGCTGTTCCGAGGTATAGAAGATGAGGCCGAGCAACAAAAGATGGCCACTACCATAAGCATATCTTCAATACTTATATTTGTTCAGTTTGTGCATTTTCAGTGCAGCAAATGCTTTAGCTGCACCAATATCAGTAGTATTACGCAGACAAGCGGTGGTTGTTGGATACTAATTCCAACGACTCGAGGATTTTACTTCAAGTGGAAGGACGAACGTGCAGCCGATGAAAGCTATGATGCTGGCTGATAGTGAAGTGGTGAGTCATTACCTTTGCAGTCATCAACATTTTGTCCGCTGGCGACGTCTTCTCGCCCGTGATTATATGACAGAGGTGTTCATTCGCAACGGACACAATCACAATAGACTGAAAGGGGTTCACGCAAAGCTAAACGATGTAAGAAAAAGTTCATGACTGCACGTACCGAGAGACCGCAGTCGGTCGACATCCCTGTGTACGAGGTTATAGATGAGAGCAAAGAAGACTACGATATCGGTAAGAATAACGACGAACCGGCGATGTACGCAGCGTATGGTTGCTCAGTCTTTATTATATGCCGCTAGAAGACAACACGTATGCTAGATGCAACATGTAGATTGATTGCTTTAGTGGGTGGCCAGAAAGCACTTCTGCTATGCTTTGTTTTATAATAAGTAATCTCGTTCACGCCGAAGGAAATTAACGCAAGCAAGGCAAACTTACATCCGTGTGCATTATATTAAATAGCACTATCCTAGTGTATACTTGGTTGAGTAGAGACTCGACTCTCTCTGCTAGTCGGCAGAAGGTCGAACAGACGCAAAGTTTGTTAGACACAACAATAGCAAATACAGAAGGAGAAAATATTCATGTGATTTTTGGATGATTTTGTGCAGGAGCACGTCTATTTAGAAACTATATATTGCACAAGTAAGTTGGGCTAGATATATACACTCATTTTATCTCTATGCACTTTAGCTGCACACAGTACCCTTTTAGCATGCTGTATCAGTTTCAATTCGTTTTAAAGAAAGCACATTTGTACATTTAACAGTAAGGGTCGATGACTTTTGTCTTTCGTAAACCTTTAGCATCCCATCAGAACTTGTCAATGTTGGAGCGAGCGCCCTACATCACAATGCCTTCTAAATTTTCTAAAAATTTACACACTTTCGATCCCGCCTGGCCGTCAAACATCAACTACGTACATATCCGCCCAGATAAAATATATTGCGTGTTAAAAAAAGACGTATTGAACTATTGACCCTGGCGTAGGCGTTTTTCAGCTCAATCAGATGAAACATTGTATGTGACAGTATAGTACTACGCCAAGCAGACTAATCATGGCTTCACGTGTCTATCTCTAGTTGGCTTAATGCCATTATTTCTAGAGCGCATGAATAAGCGACCTCGCAACTATAAATGTGTTATTGATATGTTGAATAAATCGACGTACCGGGCCTGAACTCAATTGAAGTAGCTTATCTGTCCATTACCGTTACTGCACCATGCTTAGCATGCGACCAGCTAGCGAATTCAGCTTCGTATGAGTCAGATGACATGGCGCTTTGCGCAGCGATTTCTCTCCATTTCTATTGAGCTTACATATGTTTTTATTAAGTCATATTGATTTCCCTTATCCGATGATCCTGATCTTTAACGTCGTGCTCGTTGTTCGTGTAACGTCGTAGTGTCATTGAGAGTGCGATCTAAGACTTTGCTCTTCACTACTCAGTGGCTTCATTCGTTTCAAGATGGTGTGAGCATCGCACATCTGATTGGTAAACAGCCAACGAGTACATCTTCTCGTTCGTACGTGAGATTCTACATTTTAATGAAAAGTATTGCTAGTCGTTAAATACTGATGAATGGATGGTCAGGGTCCAGCTAGCTGATTTTATAATCAGCGAACAGGTTTTTCGTTGTTTTTTATGCCGCATTTTCCGTGTTGTGTAGGGCAACAATTCCCACCATATGAGAGGCAGGTGGAAAGATTTGCATACACACTGGTTAATAACACTGTGTGCGAGAATGAGTTGAAGACCTGCTTTTTGAATGATCTTCTAATTGTTTTTTTTTTTGCTTAAAAAACGAGAAGTATAATTTCGATCCCATCGAACTAGCCATAATAGTGCTGGTGGCATAATTTTGCGTAACAGTGAATGTGCTACACAACGGTGTCAGCTGGTAGTCGTTGGTTGTGCTAAATTGAAAAAAAGCAAAAAATGTTGTAGAACCATACATCATCGCATTTATCGCGAGCTATAATAAGTACAGAATGATCATCCTATTAATTGAAAGTAAGAGAGTGTCAGTTCTCAATTAAGGGAAGCAAGTTATTGCACAGCGAAAAGAGACAAAAGGAGAAGGCCTTTAAGTGGACAATCGGAACGGTATTGTTGATAAAATACATTTCTGTGTGCAATTTAGTGCAACGGTGGTAAACTGCGTTGTAGCTTTCTTCCACCCGATCTTTCTTTGGAGCCTTCGTATTCGTTGCTCTTAGCTAAAAGCTACCATAAGTTCCCTTTTGTTAATCAGTCGTCTCATCTACGCCCTTGCGAAGTACAGGGTATCTAGTACAGGGTATGCCTAGCTAGCATTCGGGCATAATGTAATGTGTTTGCTATGATTAACCTTTGATGGCTCTTTAGAGAGCTTTCCCAACTACCAAATCCATGTTATCGTGTGCGTTGATTCTGTCAATATAGAGCAATCAGAAAATTTGGTTCTACGTCCAGTACTGTACTCGCCAGAGATTGTTTTTAGACGGTTAGCCACCAACATAAACGAAGCATCACAAACACGATACCACTGCAGTATCCCGGAAGCGATCAATATACAGTGGTTAGGATCGTTCAACTGTCCATTGTCTCTCATTTGGTAAAGGGTCTGTGGCTCCCTTCAGATTGCATTGCCTTCAGCACATTATTTTTCCAGTTCTCCTGCGAGTAATGAATGACTAGTTATCGATGCCGTCCAATCGACTGTCTGTCAATTAACAGTGGACATGATGGCGCCCTACACCATTGTTGGTGTGTCATGCTGCTACTGCGACGCAGTGATTGAAGTAGACCAAGCACTAGTTGACTTGCATAGAACTCTGGGACATTGGTCGTCATAAAATGGTGAATGGCCTTCACATGACGACAGGGCACGGCGGCCGCAGTACCGATTGCCGGCGGCTTTAGCGTATTGTCAGCTGTAGCCGCCGTTGGCTTCAGCGCAATTAATATCATCTCGTGACTACATGGCGCTTTTTGGCCCATTCGGTTGTTGTTGACTGTACCCAGAATTGGCAGCAGTAAAGTAGGAGGCCGGGTGAAACGGAGCAAGTACTCGAGGTGGCCAATCGCTGCGGGCTTAATAAAATGAAAAGGATAGTCTAGTAAGTGAACGTGCTTAGATTGGCTACCGCTTCGTTGACCTACCATGTCCCGTAGGCTTGATTGGTCCGTCTTTGTATTTGCATATCTGTAACACCTTTAGCTCGTGTAATGTTTCTTGTTATTATTTTATTATATGATTATGACATTATTTATATGAAGATCCATAATATATTAGGGAAATAATAGCTGGTGATCGCGATCGGGAATATGTCTACTTGGCAGAGAGCTCTATGCTCATATATAGCACTAATTGTGATTGTAATATCCAACAAAAACGCTTGTTTACCATTTGTATCCTGCTTGATGTTAGCTCAAAAAGATGATGTGAGCTCGACAAGTAGTTAGGAGTGACAACCAGAAATATATTACTCGATAGCTAAATCATAGACAGGACGTAAGAATGGCCAGGTCAGTAGCACCGCTCTGTCGGGACAGAAGACGATAAGGCATGCTAAATAAGAAAGCGGAAACGATAGTTGAAAGAAAAGCAATAAGAACACTAATGGTCAAGTAGTCTTTTTTTATTATGGCAGGAAGAATACGTGTTTGACTGTGAGCAGCATGTCGAGCGTAGAGAATAGTTCAGCTTGTGTGTTGGCTTCGTTTTTTAAGATTTCCAATAGAAATTGCTAAACAAAACATGGACACAGAACACAGTCGGTTTATGAACATAGGATACGACTTATATGGTTAACCGAACTGAATGGATTTTTTGAGTTTTTCGAACTTTTCGAACAATTCTACAGTCGATAGGTAGTTGTTTTCGACTGCTGGTCCTGAGCTGATTAGCTTCCATAGAGTAGCATTAGTGCATAACGTATTTGCCTGCTAATCTTAGGGACACGTTATGGTCTAGATTCGAATCCAGGCATAGACAGATTTCGTTTCATGCTGGGAGCCAACCCTCTGATGAAATGCCTAACGGCGATACCGGACGTAAAACTCGAAAGGAGGTTAGCATTATATAGATTTGGCGCCCCCTGCCTCACGTCAAATAGACATATCCAGAGCTTGGGCTTTAATTATATATATAGAGTTCCTTATAGGGCTTATGGTAAGAGGTCGCGGCGTAAGCTGCCGCGTAACACCACTTGTTACTACGGCCATGTTCTTTTATCATAGCTTTGTTCCGTTTGAGGGAGCATCACTGAGCTCTGCTCTTTTTAGACCCGCTATAATTTTTTATCTGCTCTGCACACAGCTCAACCATAGCGAACAGCTGAAGCTCTTTGTATTATTTCGCCTCACAGAAGACGTCGTCGTTGATGACGATGTATTTTTGGCAACATCGTTTGCTTTTAACTTTACCATTGCTTTAGTTTGCCAACACCGTTCATCCCGATAGCTTTTCGACGTCCGAGAGTTTCAACCATATTTCTTTCCTTGGTGGAAAGATCTCCAGCGTTGCTTTATCGGAAGGAACTTCGATAAGGAGGCGTTGGACGGATAGTTTACACGGAGGACCCTGTTGATGGTTTTGCTGGACCCCTCGAAATAGGAAAAAGCAATTCTGCAGGATTTCTTCGGTGGTACGCAGTTTCTTCGCAACTACTTACCGTTCTTTCAGTTTGATGGACTCAGCCTGTTGGTCTGTTCGCCGATCTACTGGCCGACTAGCCAACGTCTACGAAGCAAGATCGCCAGCAACAATTTCAGAAGCTGTTGGTAAGAAGAAACCGTAAGCGAAGCTGCTAAACCAGCTAAATTGAGGCGCGCATCGAACGCTACATGCGAATCGTCGTTGTTGTCGGCGTCAGCAACTGCAGGAAGAATGAATAGTCTTAACTGTTCAGATGGTCTTGGTAGGAACAGCGGGATCAATGCGGCAGGCGGCAAACCTGTCGTTGTTGCTGTTGCTGCTGTTTGTTTGGTTCCGATGCTGCTATTGCTGGTGCTGGCTGGCTGTTGGTTCTGTCGAACTGACGCACCGGGGGTGGGGGGGGGACAGTGGCTATGGCAAAGTTGTTGGGGGTGCAGTTATGACGGACGAAAAAACGACCAAAGAGACAGCCAGCAACGTAGAACGTACTGCTACTACCTCGCTAAGAGCCGAACCAAACAAACAAGCGTCCCTGCGCAAACACGAGACACGAGCGGGAAGAGGTATGCGGTTGGCCGATTGGTGGGCTAACTTGGCTTTGGCTTGCTTCTTCAACGTGTCGATTGGAGATAGAAGAACGGCGCGTACACAGTACAGACGGAGTAACCAGGCGTTGTGAACAGACCGATAGCTGTTGCTTGGGGTTGGCAATTCGAAAGCCGTTAAGATCGAAATAAGCAAACTACCGAAGGTTGTAGACAGCACCATGTTTCTCGAACGTCCGTTTCATTGGCGATCCGCGAAGATCCGTGCCGTAGCAAGCTTGATTTATTGAGCCATGGACATAAAAAAAGTAGCGATGATTTTTTTCTTCTTTCGGGCCGATGCCGCTAGGACAGGAAACATGCTTCATATGCAATATTATAAATAAATACACCATAGTTTCTGTTGACGTTGCTGAGATGGCTACTGGTGATGATGGTCATATGATGGTTACGGTGATATTTGGGAATAGCAGTCACTGTTTTTGTCTCACTTTCTCTTTTCCTCTCGTTCTTTCTTGTTTCTATCGGTTGCGTTTGGCGCATTTCCCTTATGAGCTATAGCGCAAACTGGACAATATGGCTTTCCGTTTTGTTGAGCGTTGCGTATATGCGGCTTATCTATCACATGGTTCCGATCATTATTCATGTATTTAGGGCATTCGAACAAAAAGTGTAAAGTGGGATGACAATGTACCGCTATCGTCTGCGTTGCCTTTACTTTTTTTTAACTCTACAAGTAGTTTCTACGCTAGCTCTCTCGTAGTTTGTGCAGAAGGGCAATAAGAGATTAACGAATAAATAGGGTCAATAAAATAAAACAGACAAATACTGTCATGTTATCAAATCTACTACTTCTGAAAAGAATGGGATAGAATAACATAAGGAGTAAATTTGGTGAGACCTATCAAGATAACGATTTAGCGTCGTGCAGTTAACGAAGAACACGTTTGCTTGTTGTGTGATATATACATAGTATGATAACTAATTGATTATGCATGATACTACGTATATCAGCGTAAACGGAAGCGCGTATACATATGTATGGTATGTCAGGGTCGAACCCAGCGTACTACGTAGCACTTATTTCTGTTATTAAACCAGAATGCTTATTGAAACCAGTATCAACTTAGTCGATGCTTATGGCTGAAAATGCAAAAGAGCTTCTCTTTGGAACATTTGAATGTCATTGGCAGGAATTGCTTACAGGCAGAAAATTAGTAAAATGTCTATTTTGCTGGTCCGTAAAGACCATATCATATACTCAGATCAGGTTCAGAATATAAATATGCAACCGTTTTTAGTTTAAACATTGACAATTTTGACTAAGGTATATTATTACGATGGTGGTTCCTGAGAAGATTCATATAAACACAAGAGTGTTCATATAAGCACATAAGTGCTTCAGTAGGGAACGTGAAGAAACGTTTTTGTTTAATCATCGGCTGAAATCATGGCACTATTATTGTTGAAATATTTAAATCGACTACTGTCCAATAAGAAAAAACAATTACGATTTTCATGATTGATCGCTTCTCAGTATCCAAATGTTTGGTTGGAAGAACAAACACGAGCGCGCATATTCGGACGTACGTGTCTATAATACATGACACAAGTATATATTTATTTTAAATGAATGCACGAGTTACAAGAGTTTGCGGATTGGAGTTTTCATTTTTACCCATGGTATATAATCCATTAAACGGTATTCATATTTGCTGACCTTTTTGCTTGTTTGTTACAGATGGATCCTCCAATGCCTTTGAATAGCAACATCAGGCCAAAGGTCGAGGGTCAACGGTTCCCGCAAGTCGGAGGTACGTGTTTTCTTAAAAGTAAGCTAGAAATCTTTACAGAATATAAAATAGTTTTTATTGTGGGAAGAAGAGTTGCTGGACGGCTTTTGTTTCCTGTTTAACTTGGCAAGCATGGCATTGGTTAAATTCGTGTTCGCTAAATACTTGACTTATGTCAACAAAGTAGGGTCAGCTACTATAGCACTAAACGACCGGAAGTCTTAAACTAATTTAAAGTGGCCAATAGAACACATACAATCAGATCGTTAATTGCTTCAGGTTCCTTCTTACGCATTCGGCCCACCATTTACATAAACTTTCAGCGAGTCCATTAGTTAAGTCCATTAGCTGTGAAAAAAGTGATTCGGGGTGAAAGTAATCAGGTGCCAGGTACTTCATGTCTGATGTCACAAAATGCTGCTCTTTGAAGGGGCGGTATCTGTACGCACTTGGTGCTGTTCTTACTGCTTGTAAGAAGTGGAGTGGTGCGTTTACCAACATATCTTCTTCTAAGAGGAGGTAACCTAAGGGATCAAAATATACGTTGCAATTTGGAAAATTGCGATTCGAGTTTGAGTCCCATCTTAGACAACAGAGTGTTGGTGGTAAATAAGAACAAAATTGACGTCGTTCCGTTGTAAACGAATTAATTATGTCTTTTAATGAAATGTTTTGATGTGCCGACAAGTACCCTTGATCGATGTATCGATGAAATGTAGTTGCTAGGCTTCAATGACGGCGTCAGTTCGGGGCTCAAGCCGCTCACAGGTCATTTTACAAAATTCACAGTTAACTTTGTGGTAATACCTGCCACGACTTTTTACAACACGCCATCCACAAGAAAAAACCTTTAAACCTGAATATACGGGGACAGTGGATCAAAGATCCCAAAAATCTAAAAGATAAACTGTTACCTATGAGGATCTTTGGGAAATAGATAATTTCATCTCAAAAACAGCCTCTTATTTCTTAGTCGTAAGATCGGCTTTCGAGTTGTCAGAAGCGACTTTTTGTATTCTTTTTCCAGGAATTTTTTTGCGGTCCAATCCCTATTGCGGGTTTTCTGCTTTGGCGTACAGAAATCTCTAGCGGGTTTCCCCATCTTTCGTACCTCGCAAACGAACTTTTTGCCTTCATTATGATGTTTTTGTGGTTTTGTCCTACACAGAACTCGCTTTCAAGTAACGTACCGCTAGTAGTAAATGAACGTATGCCGGTTACGTCAAATAGTCCGCTAAAATGTGTCCCAGGGTAGCCTGAGTAACATATATACATATGTGTACATACAACATCAGCACGTATATATATTGCTGTTATAAGTGAATGTGGCGGACATTAATATTTACGTGAACTTTTGTACTATTTGGAATGATAATTGTTTAAAATCTTAAAAAAATCTTCTTTATTTTTAAAACACGCCTTCCTGCATTCTGGCAGCTACCAGGCAGCCATATACCCGCGATTCGCATTACCATATGTAACTTCTCTTCTCGAAATAAATCGACAATGGGATATGCTTACCTGCTAGTGGCTCTTTTTAGGACACCGAAAGCCCCATAATCGTGCGGACTTCGACAGGGGGGAACAAACGGATTGAAAACAACATTGGATATTCCTTTACCCAACTGAGGAAACAATCGAGCTTCGCGATGAGGTTTGGCATTGCCCCTAAGTAACCCGACTATCTGCTGTCAATCGCTCTGTGCTCTGGGCCAATGAGTTTAAAGAACTCGAGATAGCGCACTGCATTCGTTGTTCCACTTTCGCCGAGTGTTTCATAGTAGCAGATGACGTTGATGTTCATCGCAAACCTCGTCCAAACGTACTCGACATTGCCACTAAACTCGATCTCCCTGTAGGACGATGCCATTTCGTCGTCTAGCCTCTCTGCGGTTAGAAATAGATATTGAACCAAACGACGTCCATGTTGACCGCATGTTCCACGCGGGTCTTTTTGCCGATTAAAGTCCCGCAAATTATACGTGGACTACACCACACATATTTCCAATCAGTTTAGAGTAAATTTACGAGGGACCCTATTTTCTACTTTTTCTTTTGCATTTTTATTATTTTGATTATAAATCTGTAACGCGTTAGGTGTTAAATACCAGCTTTAGCCGACAAAACCCTTAGGCTTCAGCTCTGTTTTCGTATTCCCGACATCTCCATCTTTTAGAAACTTGGATTCTTTACATAGTCATTCGAGAAATTTTTTCCTGAATTTTTCATCAACCTTCGATAAATTATTGACGCGCTGTGGCCTTTGAGAAATAAAAATTGAGCTGTTGAGAGTTGATTTTCGAGACCAAAAAATCCTGAATTAATTTCTCTTGGAGTAAACTCAGTTTCCAAACGACAGAAGTATCTACCATCCAAACTTCGTCTGCAAGCGACACGTAGTTCAAAAGCTATACAATTTCAAAGTTTACCAGCCGGCAAAATCCTTTTCAAAGCAGCGACAATTAACAATCGAGCAAATGCATGCCTGCTGGTGAGTTTACGTAATTGACTATTTCGGAAAATAAACACAAATTTTAGTTCCATTCCATCTGCGATAATAGTCAATCATTTTCTTCAACCTTTTTCTCTCTGGTTCCACCTTTGCTAATATAACAGCGGCTATCAGTAACATTATTTGTCTACTACGGAACGTTGCGAATGAAACGGGACAACAACAGGACAGTGTCTTTGTGTTGGAACGGGATAGAAGAAAAGCACGGCTGCAGCTAAACCATAGGAACTAACCCGCTGATGAAATACTGGTAACGGTCTGGAGCAACAAAGCATCGACTGGAAACCACCTGATATCAACCAACTAGTAGCACAAAAAACAACGAACGAGAAAGCCAGAAACTTTGTCGTCGAAGTAGTCCTGTTCGTTTTTGCAGCGACCACCAAAATGGGGTCTAATAATAAAAAAATCGAGCGAAGCCTTTTTGCCGTTCTGTGGACGTCTGCTAATAGCAGATACAGATCTGTGGGGACGTTGCGGTGATTTTCATGGTTCTTTTCATGCGACGTCAATACACTTTGACGTGTAGGACTAAATGTCGTTGATCTGATGATAGTGTCAGAGACGTTTCGTGAGAAATCGTATTTACAATAACATGGATTTGCTGTCTGCTTGATCGAACGCAGCGCCATTCTGTCGCGCATTAAAGCTGGTGCCTCAATAGATTGGCGGCACCAACAGATGATTTCAAAATTTTTCGGCTCTAGCTGTTGTTGTTCTTATCGTCTCTGTGCTCATTGTAGTGCCCTGTATTTGTACATACACAAATATCTGTGCTTGCATCTGTTTGCAAATTCGTTTGTGTGTCATCTAATTCTCGGGTGCGCATCATAGTCGGCGTTGAATGTCGGAGTGGTTATGTAGTATTTGTTGTTGCTACGAGGTGTATTTGGTATGATGATAACGATAACCAATTTCGAAGCAGAAAAGCTGGTCGCCTTGTTGTGGCTGCTCGAGTTTATTTGGGACTTCTGATTTTTGCCGTCGCAGATATTTGTACTGTCATTATTGTTGTCTTGTAACGTAGAACTGTACGCACTGGTCTAGTGGGGAATGCCCCGTATTTTACGGTACGCGTACGGATCCAACGAATGTCTAATGGTGGCTTGAATCCTTGTTGTAAATAATGATACTTTGATGCTCAACTCTGGGGACAGCAATCAGCGTAACTTGTACTGAACTATTCAGAATACCAGATATTCGTTAGGATTTTGTCTACTATATTTATTTCAATGTTGCATGCAGTTGAACAAAATGAACTGCGCCAATTTCGTAAATATGAAATGAGGGTTGATGATAAAAACGTGAATATTGTCGGATTAATCACAATTAAGACGTCAAGCCCATAGATAAAATCGAATATGGGGACCGCTGTGTCAGGAAGCCCAAAAACTATATCTACTTCTGTGCTTCGTTTTCTTTTTCTGAGAACTAACCGTTAATTCTCCAGCCTCAGTGAACAAGGCTAAGTTTAAACGAGTGCTTGCATGTCCCAGCTTCATTCGGATCGAGAGAGACCAGCGTTGTACTAAACGTTGCATTATAAACATACTGCAATGAATTTATCATACCGATAGATAACCGGACAGATAAATAGCAGCAGTCTAATCACCATTTTAGTCAGCTAAACGACTGCAGTTCCAATGGTGACAACGCCATTTCGGCGAGATTCTCCTCTCGGGACAAATAGACATGTACGGTGCATCGACTGCGAACGAATGTGAAGATGACGATTTCGATGGCAATCTTCACGCATCGGCACAATTTCGTACGTTATTGACATGGCTTAGCTACTGACCCGTGCTAACTGATTGTGTGGCGTTTGATTAGTCACCAGGTTACCAACTGTGTGCGGTGGCGCTGCTGTCTGTCATTTGGTGACTACTGAATAATTAGTGCCAAAGTAATTATACGACGTCGTTCTGGGAACGGGAAGGCCGCTTTAGGAATTTTGCGTATTCTTTTAACTTTACGAACATCTGTCTAGGACTGGTTCTGGTTACTTACAATTTATGAAATAACGGCGTACGTATCAACTGCATTTTCATCTGCTGTGTATATAATGACGGGAACAGTCTTGTCCGTCGTTTGATGGTTTATTATTTTGCCTACGATGACAATAATCGATGAGAAGCATATGTAAGTTCAGTATTTCATATATGTCAACGTCATCATCAGTAGTTGCTGATGAAGTTGTTCGTGATTAGGGGTTCCAGACTGTTTGAGCATGTCAAGATCTTTGAGTATCACTATGACTTGCATTCCTTTGTTCTATTCATATTTAAACAAATTTTACTTCCGGAAGTCGCTACGCGGGGCCAAATGTAGGGGGTTAAGAACGTGTGAAATTCTCAGATCTGCATCAGATTAGAGAAATCGTATGGACGGTTCCCGTATAGAGGGACGTAAAATTACTTCGGCTAACATTGCGAAATTCGGCTTATTTTTATATGAAAGGCAAACAATAAGATTCGTTTCGCCTTTGTGACTGCTGCGGTATTAGAATTAAAATAAGACATTTAGCATA